ATATATTTCATGATAATAAAAGGTCCAAATCACTGAGAAAACATAATATTCATGAACAGTTATGTACTTGATAATATAGCTTTGACATAGATGAAGCAAAAATAGAAAGAACACAATGAAAATCTAATGGATGAGCAAGCATACTGGGAGATATTCTAATACATCTCTCTCAGAAATCAAGTAAAAGTAACAAAAGTTAACAAGGATACACATTATTTAAATAACACAATTAGCAACTTGAGCTAATAGATACATGAGAACTTTGTATGCAACCAATAAAATACACATTTTTTTAAAAACAAAAACCATACTGAACACTGCAAAAAATATGATCATTTACTAGGCCATAAAAAGATCTCAACAAATTTCCCCACCTCATCCCCACAAAAACCCACGCAAAACCAAAACAAATACCAGATAACACACCGACCACATTCACTAACCATAATAAGAAACTAATAATAAAAGAACTTAACAAAAGCATATTCCTGGAAGCACTGTGGTTTTAGGGAAACAACATAGTTCTTGGTCTCAGGCCATCAAGCCAAATTCCCGTTGTGGCATGTACCAGAGTTTTGTAACTTTGGAAAGGCCCTTAACCTTACTAATCCTCAGATTCCTCGCTGTGAAGCCAAGATAAAGAAAACAATCCTCCCCAGGGCCATGGCAAAGATTAAACTCAATAAATGTGTGTCCTTTTCTTCAGGAAACTCTGAAAAGTATGGATGCAAAAGATGGTGGCTGATATCAATTCGCTAATCCAGAGAGGTCAACTGAAGTACCAGGAGGACAATTCAGAGTGCGGACACAAAATTCTCATGCTCCCCACCTTCCAGATTTTCTGCCTCTCCTCTGAGGCCCCCTCATGCTCCTGGAAGGAGCCCCTGGAGAGAGAGGACGAGGCCCTTACCCCGGGAGCAGGTCACGCAGGCCGTGCAGCGGCCGGCCCCGTCCAGGTAGTAGTCGGGCTCACACTGCTTCCTGCAGTCAACAGACCCCTGCGGACACGGCTGCGTTGGGGACAGTCCTGGGAAAAGAAGCAGAGAAGCTCTGGGCCAGGCTGCCTTGGCAAAGGCCTTGCCCCACCCTACCTCTCATCCCCCTCCCAGCTCCGCCCCCAAACCCCCAACTCTCCAAACAGGTCAGCCCAATTCTTGTGTTATAGATGGAGGCACCTGGCACCCAGGAGGGGCAGCCCTAGCCTAAGGTCACCTGGCAGGCAGGAAAAGCAGCACAGGTGTCAGGAAGAGCCGGGCCTAGGGTTCGGGGGCTGCCAGCTGCCAACCGCAAGTTACAATAACCTCGTCCGCACTCTTAAGTTAAGAACAGGACCCAGTTCCTGAGCTGTTGAAAGGATTGAAGGGACTGTGACGCTGACTGTGTGTAAATTATCACAGCAGTCCCTGGCACCCAGCAAGCCCTGTCTGAGCACTGGCTGTCATCGTTCTTGGCGGGAGTCCTATCTCACTGCAGGAATTAGGAGGCATAAGTCTAGATCATGAGAGTCTAGACCACGAGGAGCCTGATCCAGCCTGACTGAGAGGCACACAAGTCACCCAGAAATTGCTGCCTCCCATTACACAAGGATAGGAGATGCAAGAGTTGGCAGAGACAGCATGGCCGAAAGGGTAGAGGGTGCCTTGGATGTCTGCAGGGGCTCTGCCTGCCCCGCCCGACTCTGTCCTGAGTGATGCTCTCTACCCAGGATGCCTCTAACACATTGCACATGACCCAAGCAGGCCAATCAGAATACTTCATTCTTCCCATCAATATTATTGGCTCAGGATTGACACATGACCCAAGCAGGCCAATCAGAGTACTCCATCTTCCTCACCAGTGTGATTGGTCCAGCATGGGCACATGACCCATGCATGCCAGCCAATGAGCCCCATCGCTGAGAGTTTCGCAAAACCCATCCAGAAAGATGCCCTCTCTTTACTACTGGATTCCTGATTGAAAGGACCAAGTCAGCCCAGAGCTGCCCAGGTCATCACTGCCTATTCGTAGGCAGGACCTACCTGAGAAGGAGGCGACTCAGAGACCAGCAAGGCCAGAGTTGGAGAGAAATAGAGTCCTGAAGACATCGTTCAGACACCTGAATTTAGGGCACCCCGCGGACTTCTCTGTTACTGAGCCAATTATTTCTATTTTGTCCTGTTTGGGCCTAAATAGAGTTAGGTTTCTATTAGTTACAATTAAAAGATTCTAGGCCAGGTGTGGTGGCTCAGGCCTGTAATCCTAGCGCTCTGGGAGTCCCAGGCGGGAGGATCACTTGAGCTCAGGAGTTTGAAACCAGCCTGAGCAAAAGCGAGACCCTGTCTCTACAAAAAAAATAGAAAAATTAGCCAGGCGTGTCGGTGCACACCGGTAGTCCCAGCTACCCAGGAGGCTGAGGCAGGAGGATCCCTTATGCCCAGGAATTTGAGGTTGCAGTGAATTATGAGGACACCACCGCTTCATGATATCTGTAGCAGTTGTCATATGAGGATACCTGTCATTTCTGGTGATGACAAAGCGGTGTGCTGCGATTACCCCTGTTTTGTTGCCTTAATTCATAACGGAAGGAATTCATATGGGAATTTTAGTTAGAGGCTAATTAAAATAACGGAACCCATTCAGGTTCACAACCCCAATGAAATTCACTCTTGGGAGTCCATGGACTCTAGGGTAAGAGACCTTTCTGTAGAAGAACATGCAAGGATCTCTCAAGTGAGATTGGAAAGAAAAAAAATGCTAGCATGATACCTCTCTAGTCCAGAAAACTTCAGTAGATCCCTAGTAGTCTTTCTAAGAAGTAAATCTGACCCCATAACTCCTCGCCTAAAACTTCTAAAGTCTTCTTATGGCTCCCAGGATAGATGTGTAGGTCTTTGCCATGGCTATAGGAGGCTCAGCCCACCTATATCCCCCTTGCTCTTTCATCTCTAGCCATGCACTAGCCATGCTCTCTTCCACCCCAGGGCCTTTGCACAAGCTAGTCCTCTGCCAGAAAGGGTCCTCTCCCCTCATATCTCCCACCAGCCTTCACGTCATAGTCAAAGCATCACTGCTTCAGAGACATGGTTGGGACCTTTGACCAAAGCCATCAGAGACCCACGTACCTTGCCCTCCTACACCTAATTCTGTTGTAGTCTCATATTTATTTGTGAGCTAAATCTTCTTAGGGTATGGATTCCCCACATGGACATCAGCTCCTCGAGGGTGGGTCTTTTCATTTCCACTCACCAATGAAACCCCTGTCACACAGCCCAGCACATATGTGATTAATACATGTTCTGCCAACCCAATTAATAGGGACTCCCAAGCTTGGCGTTCCGGGCTCACTCTGTGTCTCAGACTCCTGGGCTACTGTTACGCATATTGCTCACTTTATGCACTCTCTACTTCACCAATCTGGGCATCTCAGTCTTCTCTCTAACACCCCTTGTATGTCCTGAATGTTGTTAAGGGCCGAATGGTGCCCCCCAAAGAAAGATGTGCTGGAGTCCTGACCCCTGGTACCTCAGAGTGTGACTTTATTTGGAGACACACTTTATTTGGACTTTAGAGAGGTAATCGAGTTACAATGAAGTCATTAAGGTGGGTCTTAATCCCATCTGACTGGTGTCCTTATGAAAAGAACAAATCGGGATGCAGAGACGAACAGGCACGCAGGGAGGGCGCCGCATGGAGATTGGAGTTCTGCTCCCACGGCCAAGAAACTACCAGAAGAGAGGAGAGATGCCAGGTCCTTCCCTAGAGCCTTCAAAGGGAGCCAAAATCTGCCAAAATCTCGATCTAGGACTTCTAGCCTCCAGACTAGAAGTTTAAGCCACTCAGGCTGTGACACTTTGTCACAGCAGCCCCAGCAAACTAACACGAATGCTCTTTGTGCAGACGGAGGTGTCTCTCCATCTCCACTTCCGCCCTCTGGGAAGCCCTGGCATCTAGCCAGGTCAGGCTGAAATACCATCTCCTCGTGGAACTTTCCTGATCACCTGATCCCACCTATATCCTCTCTCTGGGTCCCTTTAAAAGTCACCTCTCAGCACCAGAGGCTGTTCTGGGAGAGCTTCAGAAACCCTCTGCTGCAGGAAATACACCTGAGAGCTCCGAGGAGTGATTTGGGTGGTGGGATTAGTTTTTTACGGCTCCCATTTGTCCCAGGCGCTGATTTGGGGCTTGCAGATGATAGGGTCCCTGCTCCCATGGAGCTCACACTCTAGCCTGGAGAAGAGAGACAAGCAAGTGCGGAAATACATGAGCAAGTTGAATTTCCAAGGTGGATCCAAACTCTGAAGAAAATAAAGCAGGAGCCACGGGAGAGAAAGGCAGGGGGAATGGAGTGACAGCTCTAGAGAGTGTGGCGGGGGAGGCGCCACGAAACCCAAAGGACAGAAGGTGACAGCCATGCACAGAGCTAGGGGGAGAGCATTCCAGCAGAGGGAACTGCCAGCGCAAAGGCCCTGCGGCAAGAACAAGCAAGGCACATTCAAAGAACAGGAAGGCCCCAGGGGGCTGGAGCAGAAGAGATGAAGAATTACGGGTGTTCCTTTTCTGTTCTTTTCCCATCTTCCAAACAGATCTTCTCCACTGAGCGCCACTTTCATAATCGCAGAAGCCAAATGGCTAAGAAAAGCTCTGGAGTTGCGGAGGCGTCTTAAAATGTCCCTCTGCCCTGATCTGCCTGCAGCCCACACCCCAGCCCCCGTGTCTGGTCAGAGCTTCTCCGACTCTCCAGACGTTCTCCAAGATTGCCCTAACATTCCTGTCACCGCCTCCCAGGCCCTGCTATCCCACTCCCTTCACCCTGGCTCCGCCAAGGAACCCGCTGGAGAGACGGGGAGGGACGAGGAGGGAAGAAACTGCCCCGTCCGGGCTGGCTTTCTGGTCTTGCTTCCAAAGCCTCATGAGGCAGACTCGTTCTTTAACTCAGCCTGCGTCCACAAGTCCTTTTATTTTTTGAGACAGAGGTCTCGCTTTGTTGCCCAGCCAGAGTGGTGCCGTGGCGTCAGCCTAGCTGCAAGCAACCTCAACTCCTGGCTCAAGCAATCCTTCCTGCCTCAGCCTCCGAGTAGCTGGACTACAGGCATGCGCCCCATGCCGGCTAATGTTTTCTATGTATTTTAGTTGGCCATTAATTCCTTCTATTTTTAGTAGAGACGGGCTCACTCCTGCTCACTCTGGTTTCGAACTCCTAAACCTCGAGCGATCCACCTGCCTGGGCTCCCAGAGTGCTAGGGTTACAGGTGTGAGCCACCACGCCTGGCCCACAAAGTCCTTCTGTAACGGACGCTGCCAACCTCCGCCTACCTGTCCCTCTCGTAATACTTCACCCGCTACTGCCCAGCTCCTTCCTGTGGGCAGAGCCTCCTGTGCTGAGGGCTTCTCCGGATGCCCGAGCCCACAGCGCCAGCACACAGCCGCTAGGCCTGCGGAGGAAGCAGCTCCCCAGGACGGCCTCCGCCCCTGACGGTGGGCGTGGTGTATAAATACCCCAGCTCCCGGCCCTCAAGTGGGACACACTGAGCATGTTCCACGCTGGCTCCCAGGGGTCCCGGTGGGATCGAGCCCCAGTTGCACAGCAGTAGCTGCTGATGACCCAGCTATACTGGCTGCTTTCTCTTCCCTCCTGCGCCACTCCTGGCTTCCCAGGTGTGCTTGCAGGGATCGCCCCCTAAATAAGCCACCTGTACGCTCATCATTGGCCGCAAGCTGTGTGGTGTGAGTTGGCTCAGGTTGCCATAAAAGCACCGCAGACTTGGAGGCATTTGTTCACAGTTCTGGAGGCCAGAAGCCAGGTCAAGGTGGGCAGGGCTGGCCTTCTGCTGGGGCCTCATCTCCATGGCTTGCAGGTGGCAGTCCTTCCCGTGTCCGCCCATGTCATCCACTATGTGTGTCTGGTCTAGTCTCCCCTCTTATAAGGGCACCAGTCATATTGGATTAGGGTTCACTGTAATGACCTCATTTTAACTTAATTACCTTTTTAAAGACCCTATTTCCAAATACAGTCACATTCTGAGGTGACAGGTTAAATCAGCATATGAATTGAGGGGCCCAAAACTGAACCCATAACATCTACTTCTGGGGAAACTCAACTATAGCAGCCCTTTTTTTCTTTTCTTTCTTCTTTCTTTTTTTTTTTTTTGTGATAGGGTCTTCCTCTGTTGGCTGGGCTAGAGTGCTATGGTGTCATCAAAGCTCACAGCAACCTCAAACTCCTGGGCTCAAGCGATCCTCCTGCCTCAGCCTCCCGAGTAGCTGGGACTACAGGCATGCACCACCATGCCCGGCTAATTTTTCTATATTTTGTAGAGATGGGGTCTTGCTGTGTTGCTCAAGTTGGTCTCAAACTCCTGACCCCAAGGGATCCTCCTGCCTCAGTCTCCCAAAGTGCTGGCATTACGAGCATGAGCCACCATGCCCGTCCTGGCACTCTGTTTTCTTACAAACAGATAGAAAAGTGTCAAACCTGGCATAAAATCTGTCTTATTGAGACTGAGCCTGTGAGGGCAAGATGCTATCTACCCTCCTATAGTTGCAATTTTAGTGTCTGGTAGAGAACAGATGATCAGAGCACATTGGGTGAATAAATGAACAGGCGGAGGGTGGATGGATGGGTGGGTGGATGCAGACCGGTCATCAAAGGGCTTTTCCCTACTCCGAGCTCCCGCCCCTTCTCCTCTGAGCTCTAGCTTCCCTCTGCAGCATGAGACACATATAAGTATGTCATCTCTTCTACTGGTGGGTAAGCTCCTGGGACCCAAGACCTATCCTCCTCACTGCCATGGAACCCTGTATACAGCAGGGGCTCATTAATGCTTGCTGTACTGGGCCAGACCCAATTCCTTCTACTGCCTTCCATCTCCTCCCTCCCACCCCACAAACTTCCTCCTACACTGGTGCGTTTTTCAGGCTGAAATAAAGACAAGATTGAGAAGAACCTGGGGCAGCAGGGGTGTATGGGCAAGAGAGAGGGGCTGGTGGGACTTCAGCAGAGGGAGGTGCTGGGGGGACAACAGGAGCTTGGACCCCTGAGGTGTGGCCTGGGCTGTCACAGAGAAAAGTATGCTGGGGCAACTTAGCCATATTCATTCATTCAAAAATTTAGTGAGAATCTACCACGTGCCAAGCCCTGTGCTCAGATCCTGCAGGAAGACAGACGACAGACAGGTCATGACAAGTGGGGTGGGGGTTAGGGAAGGGGGCCGTGGGAGGCACAGAAGCCCCGAGCAAAGACATTTGCGCTAGGTTGGGGTCAGGGAGGCTGCAGTTAAGGTCAGCCAGAGAGACGCGCAGGCGCTGTCAAGCACAGAGAGAAGGCGAGGCCAGGAGACTCCGTGTGTGCGGGAGAGGGAGATTCAGAGGTTGGGAGGACAGAGGGGGCCCAGCACACTCAGCCCAAGCTCGGGCTGCAAGCAAGCGGGAGGGTGGAGTGGGAGGGCAGCACTGGGGTCAGCAGCTGTCTCAGCAGGCGGGCAGGCCCCTGGGAAGAGCTGGGCTTTACCCAATGGCAGCAGGAGCCAGACTGCCATGAAACCCTCCTCCTCCTCCTCCTTCCTGCTCACAGCCCTTGGAGAAACCCATGGCTCCCAGGACAAAGTGGGATACACCCACCTGGCCCCAAACAAGCCAAGCTCTCTGCCTTACACTTGACCTGGCTTCACATATCCGCCCCAACCCAGGCAGGTCTCAAACATCTGCAGGGAGACCCCTTCCTGGAGGGACAAGGCCGGGTACAAAGGGGTGGGTGGTCCAGGGAGGTGTAGATAAGAAGGCTCCGTGGCCCCCACGGTGCTCCTCACTGAAGCTCTTCTGCCTCCCAAATGCAATGCCTTGGGGGTCGGTATCGCCCGTGCTAGGTGGCCACGTTCCGGCCCCAGCTGAGCCACTGACTAGCACGGGACCTTGGACAAATCCCTGACCCCTCCATGTCCAAGTTTCCCCTCCGGGCTTCCTAACGGGATTCAGGGAGCTACCGCAGTAAAGGGCTCAGCACCGGGGCTGCCGCGAGGCGTGCTCCAGCAGCCTGAAGCGTGGTCACCGTTAGGAGGCAGTGAGCGAGTTCCCCGTCACTGAGAGGATGTAAACAGAGGGCTGGGGGCTGGCTGTCAGGAATGCTGGAAAGGCCATCACAGGCCTGGTGGGAGGAGAGATTCGATGACATCTAAACTGCTCAATCTCAAAGGTCTCTCGGCTTCCTCCCTCCGCCAACCCGCCCACGTGCAAACCCTGGCGCACAGCTGAGCGCTGATTGCAGAGGGCAGGCAAAATGTCAGAAATTTCCCCGAGAGATCAAGGGAGGGGTTTTTGTGGGTTTTTCGTTTCTCCTCTCTGGCTTGCCCGGAAGCACAGGGTCAATAAAACTCCGGCAAAATGCCCCGCCCACCACACCAGCACGGGGTGCTCAGACGCCCAGCACTGGGCCCTGGAGAGGGGACACCGGGTGGGGGAGGGAAGCCCTTCTTGTTAAGTCGCAGCTTCTAAAGGGAGGCAGCCTGAGACCCTGACGTCACTCTCTCCACCCGCTCCCCACAGAGGCCCCGCTGGGCTGGGGTCAAAGAGGCCAGAGGAGGATGAGGAGGAAGTGTCCGTCCTCCCTGTAGCCAGGCCTGTGGGTCCCACGGAAGTCACAGCACTGGTGGCTGCACCAGTCCTGAGGGTGGACACCCTGACCACCGGGGCCCGGGAGGAGCTGTGCGGGAACCAGCCCCACAACACCGGGCTGCGGGGAGGGGGTGCAGGGTCGTGGCTGCAGAGGGGGAGGGTATCCCAGGTGGGGGCAGGCATGCCCAAAGCCCCAGCGACTTGAGAGCACACAGCAGCTCCTACAGGAAGGCCAAGGGGGGAATCCCGGCTGGAGAGGTGGCAGGTGAGCAGTAAACACTTGCTGGCTGGCTGGGTGGAGGGAAGAGCAGATGGGAAGGGGGATGGGAGCGGGCTGGGCAGATGGAGGGGAGTGGATGGGGGGATCATGGGAAGGAGAGGGGAGGGGGATGGTGTTACAGACTAAATCGTGTCCCCCAAAGTTCACGTGTTAAAACCCTGAACCCCAATGTGGCTGTATTTGGAGACAGGACTTTTAGGAGGGAATTAAGGTTAAATGAGGTCATCAGGGTGGGGCCCTAATCCTGTAGGATTGGTAGCCTTATATGCAAAGGGGGAGAGAGTTGAGAGAGAGAGATCTGCCCATCATGAGAAGGTCTGTACGCCAGAAAAAGGGACCTCACCAGAAACCAAACCCTACCGAAACCTTGATCTTGGACACTCTAGCCTGCAGAACTGTAAGAAAAAAAAAAAAGCCTCTTGCTGACATCTCCCAGTCTGTAGTGTGCTGCGCTGGCAGCTGGAGCAGACTGACTCAGATGGGCAGGTGGATGGCAGCTGGTAGGCATGGGATGGGGCAGGCGTAGGGCAGGGGCGGGTGGGAGGGTCAGTGAGTGGGGGGGTGGGCAGGTACATGGACGGGGGTGGCTGGCTGGCCAGCAAGGCCCTGAAGTCCCAAGCCCTGAGAAACAGCAGGGAAACTCACCTGATACATCATTCAGAATCAACACTGAACCATAAAATAAAGGCCGGAAAGTCCAATAAAGTTCTACGTTCCCCCTGCAATGACTACTTTGAATTGCTTTTGGAAATAGAAAATATCAAATTCTTCCCCCCAAATGTCTCCCTCTGTCCTTTGGTGGCCTGAGCATGGGCCTGGGCTGAATCTCGTGGGGAGTTAAGATGCCACAGGTGTAGGACAGACTGACCTTGTGCATCACAGCCTGTCACCACCCTCCAGACAGCACCGCTGGGAGGACAGGTGGCGGGTAGGTGGCCTCTCCCCCAGCCACCCTCAGAAGCCTCCGGACAACGCTCGCCCACTGCAGTGACCTGCTCTCCTCAAAGCAAGTGGCGGCTACGGTCAACCAGATGTGCAGACTTTCTCCCACCTTGGCTGGCATAACTGTCTGTTCTTCCCTGAGACAATTTCTGTTCCCCGAGGACAGAGACCACAGGGCGTCTTGATCCCAGGCCCTGCCCATCCAAGGCCACTGGATGCACCTTGGGACTTCCCAGAATAACCGCAGGGGTGGAAATGCCCCGTGACCCTGTTCCAGTTGCTCCCCTCCTTGGGCCTGATCATTGCAGAATGGGAGGAACACTGCTCATCCCTGTTCCAGAAGGACTTCCTGAGAACCTGCTAGAAGTCACTCATTGCGCTGGGGCTGGACAAGAACCTACAGTCCAGGTTGCCCTGGGACAATGGCATGGGCTGGGCCGCAGCAGACAAGAACTACCAAGGGCTTCCAGGCCCCAGAAATGAAGGGCAGGTCGGGGGATGTTGACAGCCCAGGCTCTGGAGTCCCCGAGCCCTGGGCTCCAGCCCCGGCCAGCTCTGTGACCCTAGGCAAGTTATTCAACCTTGCTGAGCCCCAACAGCCTCATCTGCAAAATGGGCATAACAAGGGATAACTGTGAGCACTTAATGAGCAGATGCAATGCATGCCAAAGTCTCAGACTGCACACAGTAAGTGCTCAGAGGGGGCAGCTCTAAGTGAAAAAACAAAAGCTTGCAGAGACGGACTTCCTTGTGGCAGCAACAAACAGTCTCTCGATCCCACCAGCCCTATCCTTCCAAGATAGCCTCCGGGCTCTGGGCGTTATGACGGCCGTCAGAATCCTGCAGCCAATTGTGACAATGATGGTCGGCTCCTATTTTCCCCACTTACTCATCCCTGCAGAGGGCCATCCCGTGAGGACAAAATCTCCCCGGTCCCCACATCTGATGTACCCACTCACCCTCGGGGCAGCGGTAACAGCACCTCCCGGAAGCCTCGTCGTAGTAGCGGCTGGGGTCTCCAGCACAGGCATCCTTGACTCGTCGATCCTGGAGGGACAAATAGGTGACAGACAAACAGGTGAGGGACAAACAGGTGAGGGACAAGCTGGTGAGGCCAGGCGGGTCGCAGACAACCACCCTCCCTGGCCCAGCCAGACCCCAGAGCCTGAGACCGAGCCTCATATGACAGGACAGAAATCAGGACAGGAACTCCTGGCTGGGCACAGTGGCTCACGCCTGTAATCCTAGCACTTTGGGAGGCCGAGGTGGGAGGATCGCTTGAGGCCAGGAGTTCGAGACCAGCCTGAGCAAACTGAGCTGAGAGCGAGACCCTGTCTCTACAAAAAATAGAAAAATTAGCCAGGCACAGTGGCACAAGCCTGTAGTCCCAGCTGTTTGGGAGGCTGAGGCAGGAGGACCAGTGGAGCTCAGGAGTTCAAGGCTAGAGTGAGCTAAGACAATGCCACTGCACTTCAACCCAAGAGGAGAGATATCCTGTCTCTAAAAAAGAAAAAGAAAAAAAAAACACACAAAATAACTGCTGATTCTGCCTCTCTCTCAAACCCCCCATCACCTTTGGACTTCCCCAGGGCAGGTGATGGCAACTACGGCTCAGGCCAAAAACCCCGGAGGCTCCCTTGACTCTGTGCTTTACTCAGCCCTGTTCAGCCCACCACCCCCAGCACCGCCACCTGCTCCTGGTCACTATCCCTTCTGCCTTGGATTACCAGGTGGGTTGCCTCCTACCTGGCCTCTGGGATGGGCCTGGCAGTAAGAATTTCTGGTAAACCTGCCTGTTGCAGTCCAACACACCCGTGCAGTGCACGGCCCTCAGGTGCGCATCCGGCTGAGTCCTCACAGGTGCACGCATCGTGCGCCCGGCACCCACGCCAACACGCAAGACCTTGCCCGCACCCCTCTGCACATACCCCCCGAAAGCTGCCCACTGACTTCCGTCCCATAGATTAGTTTTGTCTATTCGTGAACTTTCCATAGATGGAATCCTACAGTCTGTTCCCTTGCAACTGGCTTAATTCAACATTATATTGTGAAAATAATTCACGTTGTTGCAAATAGCTTCAGTTGATGCACGTGCACTGCTGTGCAGTATTGCAGCCCACAGACATGCACCATCTATCTATTCTACTCTTGATGGACGTCGGGCTGTTTCCACTTTTGACTGTTATCAGAAGTAATATGGTGACATGTTTCAAGACATAAAAAATGATCATCACACCCATTTCATGTCCACCTTGCAACACGATGGCCACGTGCATGCTGCCTCTGACGTTCTAGGAATCCTTCCTATTGCTTCACGCTCACTTGAGGGGAAAGAGGCCAGCCCCCAGGGCCCAGCCAGGCCCTGCTCTGCTGGGGGAAAACCGCCGCTTCTGCTGTCCCTTCCTCAAACGACAAGAAAAGGCCCATGAGTTGCCACCATCCTTTCTTCCAGGCACCATCCCTGGATGCTAAAGACATGGAGGATGGACGCGCTCCTGCCTGCCCCTCTGCCCCACCGCCCCCTCCCTCCCAGGGTCTGCCCCAGAAGCGCTGCTTTGATACTCCCCTGCACTCCTTCCCCAGCCATCTTTAGCAGGAATTTCCTCTGAATTCCTTCTAACAGTGGGGCTTAACTGTCAAACCCCCAAATAGTGACGCGTGGGGAAGCTTGTGTAATCAATGCATAGTTCTGCCCGGCCTCGTGGCCGCACGGAATGAACGCCGTAAATATGAAAGGTCAACCAGATACGTCCAGGCGGCCTAGAAAAAACAAAAGTAATGTAAGGGGAGCATCTAAATGACATTGGGTTGGCCAAATATGTTCTTTCTTTTTTTTTTGAGACAGGAGTCTGCAGCTCTGTTGGGCCCAGCTAGAGTGAGTGCCTGGTGGCGTGCAGCCCTAGCTCAACAGGCAACCCGTGCAAACTCGGGCTCAAGCCCATCTCCTGGCCTCAGCCTCCCAAGAGGCTGGGAACTACAGCGTGGGCGCCCCCAATAGCCGCTAATTTTTCTATATTATTAGTTGGCCATAACATTTTTTCCTATTTATATCAGAGACCGGGTTTTGCCTTGCTCTGGCTGGTTTCAAAGCTCGCTGACCTGACAATGCCTGCCCCCGCCCTCTCGGCCTCCAACCAGAGCTAGGATTACAGCGTGAGCCACTGACCCCGGCCAGCAACAGATATTTCAAACAGGACACAAAGAAGGCATTAGCCATACAGTTGATAATTTATGTATTGAAAACTAAGATGTCGAGGGCCAGGCCCGGTGCTCCACCGCCTGTAATCCTAAGCACCTGGGATGCCAAGGCAACGTGGATTGCGTCCCAAGGTCAGGCATTTGAAAGCCCAGCCTGAGCAAGAGTAAACCCCGTCCTCTACTAAAATGTAGAAAGAGAATTAATTGGACAACTAAAAACAGGTACAGATAAAAATTTAGCGGGCATGGTGGTAATATGCCTGTAGTCCTAGCTACTTGGAAGGCTAGGGCCAGGAGGATGCTGTGAGCCCCAGAATTTGAGGTGCTGTGAAGCTAGGGCTGATGCCACGGCAACTCTAGCCCTGCACAGAGTAGGAACTCTGGCTTCAACATAAAACCACAAAAAAACAAACAAACTAAGGAATGTCTGTTCCATCCAAGACTTCCATTAAGTAAGTGATGGGCTGTCACCGGAAACTCAGCTTAATCCTCTGGCACTCTGGGAGGCCGGAAACAGGAATTCCTGAGATCAGGAGTTCAAATCAGCCTGGGCATATAGACAGCCACCCCACCCATTTCTATTAAAAAAAATTAGCTGGACATAGTGGTGCATGCTTGTGTCGCAGTGAAACTCGAAGGCAGAGTCGGGAGGATTGCTGAGGCCAGGAGTATCGAGTCACTATTGAGCTATGACCATGCCACCACTTACAGCCTGAGTGAAACAGCAAGACCTCTATCTCTAAAAGAAAGAGAGGAGAGAAAGCCAAGCCATGAGTGGGAGAAGATACTTGCAGTACATATATAAGTATCAACAAAGGGCTTGTATTAGAATATAGAAAGATCTCCCACACATCGTAAGCTAGACACACCAAATTTTAAAAACATGGGCGCAGCCTGAACAGGCCATGTTTACAAAGAAGAAATGTAAGTGGTTAATAAATACGGGAAACAGTGCCCAACAACATACTCATCAGAGAAATGCAAATAATGCAAATGCAAATAAAAAACACAATGTGCTATCACTACAACCCACCAAAATGGCTAAAATTTAAAAACTGACAACACCAAGGTGCAGACAGGGATGTGGGGCAATTGAACTCCTCATACCACTGCAGTGAAGTGCCAACTGGTACAATTAGAAATGAATGAGGAATTTGTCAGAACTGAGCACACCTATACTTTATGACCCAGCAATTCCACTGCTAAGTATATATCCAACAGAAGTGTGTACATTTGGGCACCAAAATGTAGGTACTTCATTCATGGGTCACTTGAAAAAATATATATGTACAGGAATGTTCCAGAAGCACTATCATAACAGTCAAAAGTGGAAACAGCCCGACGTCCATCAAGAGTAGAATAGATAGATGGTGCATGTCTGTGGGCTGCAATACTGAACAGCAGTGCACGTGCATGACTGAAGCTATTTGCAACAATGTGAATTATTTTCACATATAATGTTGAATTAAGCCAGTTGCAAGGAACAGACGTAGGTTCCATCTATGGAAGTTTCATGAATAGACAAAACTATATCTATGGGACGGCAAGTCAGCTGGGGCAAGCTTTTCGGAAGAGGGTCATCGTGGGCCCGCGGCGGTGGCGGCAAGGTCCCTGCGCTGTATGGCGTGGGTGCTGGGCCGCACTGATGACGCTCGCCCTGTGGAAGCGAACATCAGACCGGACCAAAAGTTCGACGCACTCGCCGGCCGTGCACTCAGCGCGGCTCGTCGATTTCTCGGACTGGCAACAGGCAGGGTTTACCCAGAAAATTCTTACTTGCCCGGGGCCATCCCAACCGAGGCCAGGTAGCGCAGGCAACCACACCTTGGTAATCCAAGGCCAGAAAGGAAGTGGGACCCACGGACCGGTGGCGGTGCTCAGGGGTGGGTGGGCTGAACAGGGCTGCGAAAAGCACAGAGTCAAGGGAGCCTCCCGGGGTTTTTGGCGATGAGCCCCAGTTGGGCATCACCTGCCCTGGGGAAGTCCAAGGTGATGGCATTTTGACAGAGAGCAGAATCGCCAGCTTATTTTGGTGTGTTTTTTTCTTTTTCTTTTTCTCTAAAGACAGCGCGCGACGAAAGAACATACAAAAACAAAAACCCTCCTCTCGGGTTGACGTGCAGCTCGCGCGCACTCTTGTCTTACGCCTCTGCTAGCTTGACACTCCTGCCTCCCACTCGCGCTCTCGTCGACCAACCACACCACTCACCACCAAACGACACTGGGACCCCACCTCCAACCAAGGCTTTGTGCCCAAACTGTCGCCCTGCGCCCTATCCTTCTACTTCCTACATCTATTCTCTGAGCACATCAGACCCAGAACACAAAGCGGACATCACCAGCTCAAATCACCAGCCTCCAGATTATGATACAGGCCTGGGTCTCCCAAAAGACCACTGGACCCACTCCCAAGCACAAGCAGATCCCTCCCACCTTCGGCCTCCCCAAAGTGCTAGGATTCAGGCGTGAGCCACTGTGTGGCCCCAGCCCAGGAGTTCCTGTCCTGATTTCCTGTCCCATGTCATACTGAGGCTTCGTCTCAGGCTTCTGGGGTCTGGCTGGGCCCACGGGAGGGTGGTTGCTCGGCAACCCGCCTGGCCTCACCCAAGCTTGTCCTCACCTGTTTGTCCCTCAGCCCTGTTTCTGTCCGTTCCCTATTATGTCCCTCCAGGATCGACGAGTCAAGGCATGCCTGTGCTTGGAGACCCAGCCGCTACTACGACGAGGCCTCCGGGAGGGGTGCTGTTACCGCTGCCCCGAGGGTTGGTGGGTTACAATCAGATGTGGGGACCCGGGGAGTTTTGTCCCTCACGGGATGGC